AAAGAAATACAAGTAGGAGGAATTATACCCTACTCTAAAAGAAAATTCATTCTTTTTCTACAGGATAGCAGTAGCGAAAGCTCTGATTCGGACAGTATGGAGGATGTAAGTCTCTTCTTTGTACATTAACAGAATTTAACTAGTTCTAACACTTGTATTTAACTCGGGATTTTGGTACCGAACACGAAAATACTGACACAAGATACTTTCTTTTCACAGCAATCAAATAGGCCCATGAGACCTTTTTACTGCCTCTTTATATACCGAGGCTCGAGGGCTGCTCTGCGGGCTTGTCAAGCTCAAGTCTGAGGTAATTGAACTATCCAGTAGTACAGTGGGACATAAGACTGCGGAAGCTCTAGCTGGGCCAGGGAGCACTCCATTGGGGATATTGAGAGAGCAACTTCTGAATGACAAACCACCATAGAAGGGAGCTGGGGAGGGACTGCAATTTATCTCTGAAGCTCGAGGACAGTAATCCACTTTGCTTTCTAATTAGCAGACATGCATTCTATGGGGTAACTTTTTTTTTAATACCCCTCTATTTCTTCAGCTTGAAAAGAGGTTACAAACTTTCTCAAAATTCTGCTGCTGTTCCTTAGATATTCTTTGAGTATTTGTCCTTGGGGATAGATGGTCTCTTAGATATTTAAAAAAAGTAGTTTAGGGTAAGTTAGAGACACAACATATAGGGCTGAAAAACTACACTTTCCAACACATCTAACTTGCATTAATATACAAGCTAAAATCACTCATGTAAAGAAGTTGACCATTTTCCAGAAAATGCCAAACAAAAAGAAATGCCACTACATTTGCTTACTTATAAATTTTCAATATTGTAATTATGCAATAAATTTCAGGACACAAGTAATCATCACGACCTGATTAGTAAAGTACTGGGATACACATAAAGTAATTGCATTCTGTACAGCATACAATCTAAGATTACACACTCCAACTGAAAATTGTCTAACCAGAAAGCTTTCCTGGAAACATGACAATTAATATATAGCCAGGTCCACTTAGCCTGTCAAAAAAAGGCTTTAACACAAGACCGGTGAGGACTGAAAAGATTCTTTACAGAAATTTTGCTTTCCAGGAATAACACACTGGCTATGGAAACAATGCAGTTTTTCTATCTCATTGAGCATGGTACTTTCAGAATTGAAATTATTTTCTCCTGTTTTCATTTTTAGTACTGTACATTGTGTTAAGTGCTTCACATGTAAACAGTAACATTCAAGAAAAAAAATGCTATTTTGACATGCCACAGTATAGTCACCCTTGCTCTCAGCCATGATGAGCTGCACATTCACCTCCCATGAACTTAAGAAAAGTCTGCTATTGTGGTCATGCTTTCAAAACCCAACTACACTGCGAGGGGCCTGCTCTACATAATGTATTAATTGCATATTAAAGTAATTAACTGCTATTAATTCTAACCTGCCATTCTCTTCTTACTCTGCAGATACCTGGAAAACTATGGATGTCTCCTACGGAACATTGATGCTTGTAGATAATCTTCAACTTCCTACAGCTCCTTCCCACCTTTTGCCTCACCAGTGCACTGGAAACTGAGGATAAGTAACAACCAAGTCCAATTTCACAAACCCACCTCTGAAGCCAGTATGGATTATAGCGCTCAACTCTCTTAAACCTTGTCTGATTACCTTTTAAGCTTAAATAAATGCTGAGCATCGAATTTCTTAGTTGTCTTCATCTTTTCTTAAGAAAAAATATACCCAAGTCACTTCAGTGATCCTGTTTCCAAAGACCAGGAGTAGAAAGGAAAGGGAACTCCTGAAGCTGGCCATGCCTTTTGTCCATTCTGAGTTTCACAGGTTCTCTCAGGTCTTGATCTGACCCTACTAGATATTACCCAGTCTCCATACTATACTGAAGACAGATTAATCAAAATCGTTTCGTAAGCAACCGCTAGATCTTACCTACGATTTGAAGAAAGATTTTTGTGTAAACCAAGTCCATGGAAGCTTCTACTGCAACAGAAAGCATTTATGCTGTTTTAGTAAGACCACAGAAGAAATTAAATGTGCAGGAAGAGGTAAGCAATGACTGAAAGAAAAATTAGTAACTCTCAGCATTACTTTTTTCTTTGAAAGGAACATACTAATAACTCTACAACACTCCCAGGGTTCCCCATACAAATGCACGATTCCTCCAGATTTCATTAGCTAATTGGGAGGAAGGGGTGGTGTTTAAAAGGAGCAAGCCCTAAAATCATTCATTGGTTAAGCAGGATGTGGCCAACAGTCTCAACAATGCATGAGCATGTCACAGTACTGTCACACAAGGTAATTCCAGACCATGGCATTTATCAACCACCCTACTTCAACACATGGCTCAAAATTCATTAAGATCCCCTCCCTAGGTCTCAACCACCACTTTTAGCTGTTACTGTCACCAACTCTTGACACTATTACACAATTAACAGCAATTACCCCTTGATTAAAAACACAGGGAGAAATGTCAGCAACTGTTGTGCAGCTCTTGTTATCAGCATAAATGCCATAGAAGGCCCACATCAGCCTCCTGACTGCAAGTTACTCACATTATCTAAACTGTAAAAAAACCACCACAATTTACAAGATTATGCTTTAAGGCTGCTCTTTTCAATGATCTGTTTATGGCACAGTCTCCCCAACAGCTGTACTGCCATAAGCAGTGGGAAGAGAGGAACCTCAAAATCCAGCTCCCAAAATCAGTGATCAAGTTACATCCTCCAACAGTTACCTTTTTAGATGGAGGCATTGTCAGACATTCAGATGTGAATACCATCCATACTGTAAACTAGAAAGCAATTAAATGCAATTAAAACGAATCTCTCAAAATAGAAAATCACTGAAAAGACATGTTAAGTGAAACAACTCAGAAAAAAAACTTCACTTTATTATGTAGCACTTAATTTAAATCATCATTCAGGTTATCATCATACAAGTCTCGCATCCCTTAAGGATTCATACTCCTGACAAGAAATTGGTGCAAAAATACAGAGTTAAAGTGAACAGTCTCTGCAGTCAGAATCCCAGTGCTGTCATGCAAATCTGCAGATATTATGAAACTGCTGCAAATAATGAAGACAAAGCAAAACAAGGTAACAGCTCCACATTCACCTCATTTCACACTAGCTGAGAAATCAAAAGAAGCAATCTGAAGTCTCTGAAAAAGCCTCTGTTTATCACTGCCAAGTGTTTTGCCAGCTGAATTTCACAGAATTTTCACTGAATTTCCACTGAAAAGAACAATTTCATCTGTCTCAAAGCTGGAAAACGTATTCTCCCCTTGGTGTCCGTCGGTTCCTCATTTACATCACTCTCAGCACTCAGGACCAGGATCCTCACTCCAGTGGGCTCCCCGTTTCTCAGTCACAAGCTTAATGAAGTAGCTATGACTTGCATACAGCTGGAGCTTCTCACTGATGTCAATCCACTTCACTATTCCAGCATCATCACCTGCTTCCAGAGGCAAATTATCCATTGCCTCACCTGTTCACAAAACAAGAGTTAGGACAAACTATTGCATCTTCTTTCCAGCTTTTTCTTCTCACATCTGATCAGTTCCATCCTTCTGCATGGCTCCTTCACAGGCAGGAACCTTCAACTCCTTCTCAGAGAGAAACCAATTAAGTTGCTCACTGATTCTGTGCCAGAAACCTTTTTCATACTTGCACTACTTTAAGGCAAATCTGAGCGGTAAAAGTGGTGTTAACTCCTTGTCACCAATCCTAGGATACCATCAGCAGCACGACAAGTTACTAGAAATCATTATTGAGTACAATATGTACTCACTACCACAAGTTTAGCCAATCCCTCTGCCTTGATTTTTTTCTTGTTTGTTTGGCTAACATTTGGCTGCTTCCTTTCTCAGGTACTACTCTACAGGACAAACTGAATTCTGAAACTTATATATTCTTATGGAAAACCAGAATAATTAAAATTTTACTAAAGGCCCCAAAATCAAAAATAATACTTAAGGAGGGATGCAGAAAGGCTTCTGAATTGCTCTCCAAAGTTTCTTACTCTGTTTCCAGAAAGAATCCCAGGATTTCAAAGACAACAACCAAAGAAATGCTTTTAAAAGTATTACAAAATGTGTATTAGAAACAAATACCAAAGGAACAGTATCTTTACTGTTTCTGGGGGCTGATAAATCAAGGACCAGTGACATGCGAAACTTCACCACTGGTATCTACCACACAAAACAGTGGAAATGTCACTATATGAAGTCTAAGACTTGAACATATCAGAGACACCTAACTAGTCTGATTTATCTTAAAAGGTGAGAGATGAGAATCCAAGATAACAGATCAATCTTAGAACTAGCAATGTATGCCCATTCCTAGTGATTTATAGAAGTAAAATAAGGTCCAACAATTACTCTGGCAGAGTAACCGAGCTAAAAGGTCTCAGAGCAATTACAACACCAAAGCAATAAATGCAGTGAAAATCTGCCAGTGGCCAGAGGCAATGCTCCTGAAGCACACACTAGCTACTAAAGGAAAAATAACAAAAGAAACAGACTATCCTTCCACCTCAGACTCATTAAAAAGGGAAATTAAACCAACTCAAGATAAATACAGTGACAAGAAGGAAGCCTTGTCCAATGTTCAATCTCCATATGAAGGTACATGGTCCATAGCTTAGAACTAGCTAACAAATGAATAAATAATTTTCAGGCAAAGTCCATACGTTCCTTATTTGAAGAGTGACAGAAACCAAAGGGGAATAACAACTACCTGTCATGAACATCTTAGGAGACAAAAGACTCTCACTCCCATTGGTTTTAGTCCAATATTTTAAACCTGACTTGCATGCTCCCCCAATTTCATTGCCAATCTCAGCCCAATATATGTCCCAGTTTCAAACCAATATATAGAGTAAAAGGCAACTAAGAGCATACGTGGAGATACCCACCGGTTTCATCATGATAGTTCACAGCCTCCGTCTCCATCCAGGCATTATCAGTGTTACGAGGGTCATCCACATATCCTCTGTACACCTAAGGCCCCGAACAAACCGAAACAAGCTCAGTGTCACAATAAACAAGGTGGAATTGATAAGATTTTTTCTTTCCCTCTGATACATTTGCGCTTACAGAGTTTTCAATAGTCCCTTCCATTTCCTACACCATGACAACCCGAGCATCACAGCTTATCTTCATTTCAGCTACACTTTTTCAAGTTCCATACAGCTGCGAGTTACATGCATAGCTCAAAGGGCTATCACAAGAGACACAGAGCTCACCACAAAGTGTTCCTGGCTGAACAGCTTGTGGAGTTGCTTCTCCAATTCCGCTTTCTCCTCAGGTGACTTCTGCAAGGAGTTCAAGGCCTCCTCCCCAAATTCTCGCTTCAGGGTAGCGCTAATCTTCTCCCCTGGGTCCACCATCCCCTTAGAGGGGGAAAAGAAAAAAAAGGTGACTATCCCTCAGATTCCACTTGTTTTTACTCCCCTTTGACTGGCTCTTAGTATATTACATCCACCTGCATCATATTCTGGACATGGGAGGAGCTTTACACTTAGTTGTAAAGAACGAGCACACACATTCTTCAAAACCTGCAATCGACTAAATTGTGCCTGCATTAAGCAAAAGACATGGTCAGAATTAAATACGAATACCACCTTGCAATGGAGAAACAGCAGAAGGCATACCAGCTGATGCTTGGGCAAAGCTAGTTTAAGGAGCATTTCTCCTCACCTCTGCAACACAAGGTCGTTCATCAAAAAGCACACTTTTATCACGCGCATGACAGTTATCGCCTCGTAGCCTTACCAGCGGGGAAATGTCTACTGTCTCCGGAGCTGTGCTCTTACCCCTGGAATGGCCCACTCCCCACAGTCTCTCCTTTTGATAGCTATGAACTGTAAGATGTTTTTGCCAGTAACTGGATGAGCAATTTTATTGCCACTTCCGTCCCTCTTCCACCTGCAGCAAACGACAAACAAGAGCATGCTTTGCTGCTTCTTGACACAATGGGCTGAAAGAGGAACAGCAAGGCACCCGTGCCATCACCTGTGCAGGGGCAAACAAAGCGGAGAAGGAGTCACGGGCAGGTACCAATGAATCCTGTCCGGCAAGATCGCAACTAAGGGCAAAACATTGAATTTTTCGCACACCTCTATGAACTGTGTTTTCCTCAGCCAAAAGGGCAGAAGCCACCCAAGAGCCACATTTCTGTAGCCATGCTGATAGCAGTAGCTCCTTTCAGAGCTACATCCTATCAGCTGCAGCGCTCACCGAGCTGCACTTGTGCCTATCCATAACAAGAGGGTAAGTATGCCTTCTGCTAGAACAGAACATACATGCAGGCTGCAACACCTCCAAACCGCTCACCCAGCACCAGCACAAGGCCACAAACACCCATCATTGCCTTCAGTAAAGAATTAAGAAGAACTACCAATAGCTAAAGCAAAAAGCTATCTAAACAAAGACAAAATAAAAATAGCATTTCTTTTACTTTCAAGGAAACAACTCAGTAGCATTGGCAGCCTTCTGAAAAGGGGAAGAAGTAAAATACATTAGGATGATTTTCACAACGGTTCTATCTTCAGCATGGCACTTCCTAGCTTGCACCTTTGTTAACTACGCAATCTTTTCTGAATGCTTTCTTTGTGTAAAATGGTTAACATGTACACACAGATCCTGCTGGCAAAAGCACCATTACAACAGAGCATACACTGACAAAAAAAAAGAGAAGCCTAACCCCCCTCCTCTAATATACTAGGCCAAGTTAGTATTTCTTACAGAGCAAAAGCAGGCACACTGCTTTTTTTTTTCAGTTGAGTCATTATGACAGAAAAAACTATTCCTGCAATTTAACATGCCTCACCTAAGGCCTTTCGGCATATCACGTAATCCTTTCAGTTTTCACATTCATTACTGAAGATTATTTGTATAATATATTTCTATTGAATTACGCTTCCTGGGTTGTTTTTTTTTAAATCTGCTTCCTCAGCACTTCAGAAGCGATTGCTTGTCATTAGCAGTGAGTCCTTACTCTTTTCCAGAGACAAAGACTAAAAAATTACGAAATTTGTGTTCCACTTGTCTATATATCTCTCCATTCAGTACTCATATCTGAATGGGCTTACACATAGAGGAACACACACAAAAGGCCTGTGAAAACTAATAGCCTGTCCAGAGATGCACAGAAAAAGCAAAATGCATGGTTTTTTTTCCTCCTCTGCAAGGCACTTTTCAGTCACCTGTCCCTTACCTAGTTACAACAGGATCAGCAGCATGGTTTGGTCCCCAGCGCCCTAACAATCCTCTGCCTGTGAGGCCAGTCCTTCCCACCGGATTTCTGAAATAAGTGGCACAGTACATTAAACATATTTACTTCCCCGCATTCAAAATATGCTCCAAGTATTCTAAAAAAGCAGCTTTAAAGAAGCTTAAATAACAACAAAGGAAAGGATAACAACATACATTCGGTGCACCATATGCTTTAAAAAGCAAGAGAGACAAAGCATGGTTTTCTCCTTCATCAACCTCTTTTTGTGTTTGATAGTACAGGGAAAGGAAATATACAAAATGGCTTTGTCATTTCCCAGATCTTGTGTCCTGAGATATTCCCGATCTCATTGTGCACACAACGTTGTCTGAAAATGGAATCTAGTTTCCAAGACTATAGATGCACAGAGCATTCAACTATGTACAAATGGCAAAAAGAAAAGAACTGATTTATAGGTGAGATTACCCATCTGTGCTATGCCAGGATTTGTCAGTGGAAGGAAATACTTTTCCATTCTGCCATAGCACACAAGTGGTACAAAAGCTTCAGAACCCAACACCTGGTCAAACTGTGGAAACAATTAATTATACAGACCCTACTATTAACAGTGTTAGACCTCCTCTGACTCCAGTGTCACCACAACCCTCTGTTGTGGTAGTACTGGCTAACCTTTCAGTGCCTCTCTGCCAGAACCTTCTTCCAGAAAGAACTCTCTGGTCCTGAGATACCATTTTTCCTGTCTCTAGGGAAGACTATCTTGATTTTGTTCTAGCAGGCACCATGTATCAAAACCGGTAGACCTGTAAGAGTTCTGAAACTATATCACTGAAATGAATATGCAAACAAAAAAACCACTCACCGGGGCCTCCCGTTTTCAACCACATACAAGCCATTCAGACTCCTCCTCTCCACTTCTCCATCTCTCTCATTGAATTTGGGAGAAAAACCTTTATCACTGTGTGGAAAAGAATAATTTAATAGAGATAAGTTATAAAATGCAAAACACCCCTCTGCCCCACAAAAGCTTGAAGGCCAACCACCAGATCGGCAACAGACATTTGACTAATGAGCAGTTTTTACCAAAACTTAAGTTGCAGGCCCTCCCTTTTCTATAGGAGGCTATAAAGTCTCAATCTTTACTGATGACACTCTCCCTGTATTTAGTTCCACAGAATAAGTGCGCCCCTCTAAAGTATTTAACATCGCGTCTCTCTCTAGATTTTCATTTAGACAAAGTGTTTCAAAGGTGTTCTTGTTAAGGTTAGAGAACATAGAAGGAAGTTATCCATTGATAAAACTAAAAAAGATTTTGCTAATTAAAAAAACTGAGCAGAATTTTTTATTAGATATGATTTATCAGAGTTACAAGCTAATAACCACCGATTTTCAAAATCAGCTTAATGCTAATCTCCTATGTGCACCTCTGAAAACTGGCAGAGAAGTGGCTACCTGTCTACCGACGTGTATTTCCTTTCCCAAAAGCAATTCCTCTCAAACCATCACAGGTTTCAAACTACTTACTAGCTTCTTCCACACATAATTCATTTGGGAAGTTACACTAATACCTAAAAAATGACCCTGCATTTTCAAGTATTACCAACACCTACTAAAAGATTACCTGACACTTTCCCAACTATGACTTGGCAGAACATCAGCAGCCCTACAGAGTCTGAGGAGTAGTGTACCTTGCAATCAGCAGAATACTAAACCAAATTAAGAGCAACTAGAACCACATATTCACACAGCAATGGGAAACAAAGATGATAAGGCTGAAACTTCAAGTGCCATTATCTTCTGATCTTTCTACACAGATGTTGCCCTGGTTTCTGCTGGGATAAAGTTAATTCTCTTTCTAGCAGCTGGTGTGGCACTGTGTTTTAGGTTTGGTATGACAGGAATGTTGATGGCATATTGATGCTTTAGTCGTTACGTAGTGCTTACATGGTCAAGGACTTCTCAGCTTCCCATGCTCTGCCGGGTGCACGAGAAGCTGGGAGGGAGCATAGCCAGGACAGCTAACCCAGCTGGCCGACGGGGTATTCCATACCATATGATGTCATGCTCAGTATATAAACTAGGAGGCATGGTCCAGGAAGGGGGATTGCAGCTTGGGGGGACTGGCTAGCCATCGGTCGGTGGGTGGTGAGCAATTGTATCATGCATCACCTGCTTTGGCGCCCAACATGGGGCATGAAGGGTTTGAGATAACAACAGATTAACTGGAGCATATTAAGGAATTTACATCTGTTAACAGTTGTCAGCCGCAATATTGATTCATCAGTTTATCTGATCTGCGCCATGCTCTTGTTTTTGCTGTACGTGTTAAAGATTGGTATTGGTTTTTGCAGTCTGCTGTGCTCTGCAGTGATTAGTGATGTTTTACCTGGGAGATTTGTTATAAAAACACTGGCATTGGGGGTTATTTGGTATTTGGGTTTTGTACTGAAGCCATTACCGTACTTCAGGTACCACCTCATGGAGATAATTAGCAATTATACCTTTTCTCTGAGGTACTTGTCAGTACCTTGAACATCCCT